ATCACTGTTCACAGTCCCTGGCCAGCCTGCTCTGTCCACCTCTTCTGTCAGCTGCCCCTGCCCACAGTGCCGCCAGCTTCCTCTCCACAGGATTCTGGGGGTCCTGACAGCTGTGGGGGTGAATCTCCACCCCCGCTCTCTGGACCCCAGCCCTGTGGGCCGGCCTTCCTCCAACGCCAGCTCGCAGCAGTCACCCGAGGGCTGTGGAAACGGGCTGGGCTCTCCCCTGGAGTTTCTGACTCGGTCAATCCGGGGCGACCCCGGGAGCGCACAGATCTGACCAGTTCCCGGTGCTCCCGGTGCTCCTGGCCGGGCCACTGTGCACTGAGGATCCGCCTGCAGGTCTGGGCTACCCAACCCGCACGTTCCAAACAGTGTGGCCCTGCCGGGCCAGAGTGCGTGCCTACGCCCTGAGCGTCCCGCCTGCTGAGCCCACCTGCGGGCCTCCAGCCACCCGGGGTGGGCTCTGTGGGCCGTGGGGTCACAGGGGCTCCCGGGCCACGCGGTGCGGTTTAGCCTCTGGAGGGGCTGGAGGCCGAGGCAGCCTGCAGGGAAAGGCCTGCTTGGGAGCTCCCGCCCCCTGCGTGTGCCACACCGTTGCTGGGGAGGCCGGTGCTGCCCAGGACGCCCTGGAAGCTGCCCCGGCCTCACCGGACTCGGCGCCGTGGCTTTAATTTGTGTCCTTTCACCTACGAAACTATAACCGCGAGTGTAACAGCTTCGCGACCTGCGTCCTCTGCGTCACCGGCCTGCGGGGTGGTCTCCTGGGAGTGCTGCTGCCTGGAGGCCTGGTGTTGCTTTGTGGGGTGACCCTGAACAGCCCTCCTGGGTCACTGGCCTGCGGCTCCCCGTCCGCGATGGGGGTTGGGGGCAGTGTGTCCGCGCCGGGTATGACAGGGCCCCCGAGGAGCTGCAGATGGCAAAGCTGACAGACCGCGCGGGCCTGCGGGCAGGGCCAGCCTCCTCGCCTTCCACCTGCCAGGAGCCAGGTCTGCCCGGACAGCCCTCCTCACCTGAGCCGGGACCTGGGTGCTGGGCCCACAGGTGTCCGTAGGTCCAGCCTCTCAGTGCTGCCCTTTAGGGGGCACTGTCAGGGCAGTGGTGCACATCCCGCGGTACTTGCCCCCCCCCACCCCCGCATCCTGCCCTGGACCAAGACCAGGTCCTGGATCCAACACAGGGAGGAAGGACCTCAGCATCCGTGGGTTACGAGGCTTTATTCAGACTCAGCACTTGCTGAGATGGAAGGAAAGAATATTTGGGGCCAGGCTGGGCCTGGAGATGAGGGTGGCTGGGAGGCCATGCATGGGCGGGACTGGGGGGTTCACAGGAGAGGCCCTGTTGGCCGGGCCGGGCCTGTGTGGGGCGGGCTGGAGGCAGGCAGCATGCAGGAGGCCTGGCTAGATCTGCACGGAGCAGACCTACCCAGGTGGCGGCTGGGAGCCAGGAGGGACTGAGGGTTCCTCTGGGGCGGGGGCATAGGCGTGAGGCTGGACAGCAGGCACCCTGCCCTCGCTCCCCAGGAAATGACCCAGTGGGCCCTGCTGCTGCCGCGGGACTTGCCGTGCGACTAGCCAAGCTGGTCCCCTCTGGTGCCACTGTCCTGCTGATGCTTGGACATCCGCCTGGAGGGGGACCCCACAGGGACGCTCTGCGGACACTGGGAGGGAGGCTGGGCATTCTGGAAAGTGAGCCCAGAGCCCAGCAGAGTGGGCTGTGCCTGCGGAGGGGCCAGGGGCCGGTCCCTCCGAGCCAAGCTTTTCTCTCAGTGTTTGGTGCCAGTTCCCCGCGGTGGCCACAGAGGGCGCCATTCCCCACCGCCATCCAGGCCAGCCAGGGGGCCGGGGCTGGCCGCGGAGGTAAACCTCTCTGCTGGCCCGCCCTGCTGGCTCCAGGTAGACTTCCTGCCTAAATGCAAACAAGGAATCCAAGGGCCGGATCCTCCTCCCGCCTTCTTCCTGGTGAAGAGCCCGTTCCCGCCCGGCAGGGGACAGAAAAACCAGTTCCCCGGGTCGCTCCCTGCCTGGGAATGGCAGAGTGGAGTTGGCAGGGTCCCTCTGGCTGTCCAGGAAGGTGACCTAGGGGCCTGGGAAGCCTGTGAGGACGGAGCAGGGCCCGGGGCCTGAGGTCACGGCTAAAGGGAGGGGGTGCGGTGCACAGAGCCGGGGCGCTTGGGGATCTTGCGCCAGCGCCGCTTGTCCCAGCGGCAGAGCAGCAGCAGGCGGAAGGTGTCCCGGAAGGCCTTGTTGCAGAGCGCGTAGCACATGGGGTTGACGGTGCTGTTGACGTAGCAGAGCCAGTAGCCCAGCTCCCACAGCGTCCCGGGGACGCAGTCCTTGCAGAAGGTGGACACCAGCACCATGATGTTGTACGGCGTCCAGGTGAGGATGAAGGCCAGCAGGATGGCGCTCAGGGTCCGCGCCGCCTTCTTCTCCTTGACCAGCGAGAAGGTCTTCCGCTTGGCCAGCTGGTCCTTCCCGCGCGGCTTCTGGCTCTTGCCCGTGCGCTCCCGGCCCTTCCGCGTCGGCCTCTTGACCGTCGGGGCCCGGCTCCTCACCCTCCGAGGACGTGAGGGACTCCATGGAGCCTTCGTCCTCCTCCTCCTCCTCCTTCCAGCTGTAGGCCTGCAGCAGCTTGGGGGCCCGGCAGCAGCCGCAGC